GATTGATATGCAAAAATACAGAAACACACATATTGCTTAACAATACAAATAATTTGCACCTGAAATTCATTTGCTTAGTCCCTTGGAGCCCTACAGAACAAAATGTTTGTAACAAATACAGCTGTGCTGGCGATACTTTTGCATTAGAGAAAACAAAAAGTTGCTCTCTGGTCCAAGGAGCTTATAGGCCAAAGGAAGTCAGGGAAGAGTTCAGAGAAACCTGGCTTCTACTTTGTGTTTGCTATTTCCCAAATGTGTCCTGCACTTGTATGATGGCGTGATTTTGTTGGCTGAATTTTTTGAATGCTGGAATGCCTTTTCTCTTCAACCAGCCATCAAAAGCTTGCCCAGCCTTCTAGGCCACAGTTCAGAGTTACTTTGTGAATAATTTTCCCCATCTCCCATCCTTCTTTGTCTCCTGTAGTCCTTTCTTAGCTCTTGATCAGTACACTAACCAAATCTACTTACACTGGAGTTTGTAGTGCCTGTGGTTTTTAACAGTCAGTACTCTGGTTTTTTCATCAAACTACCTAGTCAAGCACTTGTAGAAGACAAGACTGGATGTGGAGGAAATTTATATTGAAATAATGTGACTTACGTGTTCACGTATTATAGCAAATGTGTTTTCTTTTAATCTACAGACAACTTTGCAGGTAAAATGGCCTTGCAGTTGAAGTCATGGGTGAAATGAAACAAGGAGAGTTCTTCTTTGTTTGTAGACTTTTTGAGCATCTTTAATATGGTATTTTCTTCAAAGACGTTTCTCATTATGTTTTCATTGACTCATATTAGGCTGTGTCTCTGCACCTTTTTTTCCCTCATCTGTTAAATGGGAACAGTATCCACTCTATCACTTTCTCAGGGATATCACAAAGGCAGATGTGAAAATGACCATGTAAAAAAAATGAAACAGAATAGAAATACAAAATGTTGTTTTCGTTAACAATCCTAGGATTTACTTCGCATCCATATTGTAGCACTTGGGTATGTGGACTTTGGCTAACCTCATTGCAGCTGCATTAAAGAGGATTCTCCATGAGCTGCTTCAGAGGCGAAGCCAAAAGGCTGATTACAGCTTAGGGCCCCATCACAGCCATCAAACACTACCAAAGGGATGCTGGGACTTCAAGTTTGTTTCCAATTGTGCAGGAGGAAAGTTGTGGCCTCAGCCACCTGCTTCCTGTCTGCACCATGACTCACACCTTTCAGGCCCGTTTGGATGGAAATTCAGATGAGATCTGTTCAGACCCACTGCCCAGGGAGCCTGGTGATGCTACAATTTAGGTGGTTGTGGAAAGAAGCATAGAACTGGGACCTGAGACCCAGCACCATGAGCCAAGGTCAAAAGGCATTTTTTAGTATATTCAAAAGAACCAGTTTAGCCTCCATTCTTGGTGATATAAGCATTGAGGCTAGTACCTCCTGATAAGATGCACTGAGAGGAACACAGCATTGCTGTGATAGTCCTGCCCCAAATGCTAAGTTTGAATCTAATCACAAGGAGACATCAGACAAATTAAAGACATTCCACTAAATAACTTTATTTCTACAATATACTGTATTGGAAGATTAAAAAAATGTTTGAGGAACTTTTCTAGATTATAAGAGTTAAAAAGGGACAACATAATTCAATGTTATGTTGGACTGTAGATTGCATCACAGATCTGAAAAATAACATTATTAAGGAAATGGATAAATATTGAATATGAACTGTATTGTATAACACTATTATGCCAGTGTTCAATTTCTTGATTTTAATAATTGTACTATGGTTATGGGAGATAATATCCTTCTTAAGAAATATACACTAAAGTATTCAGGAGTAAAAGGGTTTGGAAAATAGCTAAATGAAATGTGCAAGTGGCCTATAAAATATTGATTTTAAAGAAATTAAAATATGCAAAAGTTGTTGAAAATCCTATTCCAAAAAGTTCATGGAAATTCTTATGAAAAATTATTCATGATTTCAACATTTTTTGAACAAAAATAATTTTCAAGTTCCATTTTCTTTGATTTTTTTGAAGTATCCCCATGGATGTATGTACATACTTATATGAGGGGGTTCTTAAAAATTTCAAAACAAAATCTGTATCATGACAAAGCTATGCATGAATTTCAAAATTACTTTTCTATTTCATTTTTCACAAAGTTCTTGAAATACATTGTGTGTGTATACACAGAAAAAAAATAAATGAGATAAAATAAAACCTTGTAAGTCTGTGTAAAGAACACACATGGCTCATTATTCTTGTAATTCTGTAAATTTAAAATGATAAAACAGTGAATATTATACTAAAATTTTGAAGTTTGCAGTAAATAATGACTTATTAAGTTTTGCCTTTAAAATATAATTTAAAAAATAAACTGATACACTAAAATTGCAAATGAAAGTAAACAGTGAGGCACTTACTATGCGGCCACCTGCAAACTTGTTCAAGTCCATCAATAGTTAAATATCTGTTTTAGAATTTAGGAACAAACAAAAAGCTATAATTCCACAACTGCCTGCAAGTTTAACCTGGAGAAGCAGCTTAACAGTGCCAGCAATGGCATTGATGAGTTTATGGATGATACGTCCTTAGACAAAGAGAGCTGGAAAGCTTAATGACTCAAACGTGCATACGAAATGTCCCAGTTGCTTCCACCACTTTGGAGAAAATACTCATGGTAGATGCTGCAGTAGGCCAAGTTTCCCAAAAGGAAAGTAGAAACAGAAATATGTGGGGGAAAGGTATAAGAAGACATAATGTAGGAGGGAAGGTTTTGTGGACATTGGAACAATAGAAGTTGATTCTTCCTATCCTGGGATATTCACATCAAAAGGTTTTGATTCCATTAAAGGATAATGGAAAGCTTACTACTGCACAAGCGATTTTCATTCATTTTACAATTTCTGGATAGCAGTGTCTATAGAAGTTTAGCAAATTCTCCTCTGGGAAAAGCAAATAGCTCAGCAGGACAATCCTGAATTTGAGGCTAGGAGTGATAACACAAATTACAGGGGTCACTGCAGAAATGGAATAGGCCTTAGAAATGACCAGGCAGGCAATGACAAGATGGACCAGGAAATCTAAAAGCCTTATACACAGAAAAAGGAAATGAACGTGGATGTCGGGCAACACTGTGCTTTTAGATGTTCAATGACTGACTCTGTGAAAGGGAAAAGAAACCAACAGTGTTAATTTATTGTATTTCCCAGTTTCTATGGTGTAAATGCTATCATCAGGGCAGAGTTGACCCTACCAATACAAAATTGCAGAACACAGAGATGGGAAACAGTTTACACAACCAGCTCTCCACAAGCTGGTGTGAACCAGCTCCGAGATACCAGCGGTAGCAGCTTAAGTACCATTCCTCTAGTTCGCTAAGTTACCCTATAGTAAAGAACTTCACCTGTTTTTTGGAGGGGGGAGGAACCTAAACTTCCTCATCTGTGAAATTTCAATCACAGATTATTGGGAATCAAAGGAAACTAATTGATAACTACCTAAGATTCCTTCCAGTTCTGACTATTGATGGTTCAATGAGGAGTTTGTCGTATTGGTAACCTTTTTCATCCTCACACCAAGTGTTATGAGCAGGGAAAAGTCAACAGAATATAGAGAAAACTATGAGAAGAATCCATATTTGTACTGCCTTGGGTAAGAGAGATTCAAGGCAGTGAGCTCTTCTCTTCTACCCTGGAGAGATTTCTGTGTGAGAACATCACTAGTAATTGGAGCTAGGGAGTTCACACTTCAATTATTTTCATGATACATTTGTTGGGGATAGTTTAAGGGATGTCAGTGGCCCCTAAAGCTCGTGCAGTGTGTCTGTGGCCTATTTTCCTATGCTGCACCACAAGTTGCCTGATAATGAAGAGTTACAGAGTGAAAGGAGTGTGTATTCCTTCTTTGACACCCAGCAATGCTAAAAGGATTAACTCAGGGCAATTTTTAAACTGCCATGTGGATGTCGCTTTCATTCACTACTGTCTGGTGATAGGTGTTCCCATCAACACCTCATTTGCTTTGTGTCTGAACTGGGCACACCAATACTCAACCCACTTCCCAAGACATGATTTAACCTTAGTTCAGAATGGATACTTAGGACTTCTGTACATTCTCCTTTCGGAAGACATATAGGAATGTAGCTGCAGCCTGGAGTGGTAGCTCCACAGGCAAATCCTCCACCTGCAAGTGCCTGCATTCCATGGGGCACTGATTTGTGTCCCAGCTGCTCCATTTCTAATCCAGCTCCCTGCTTATGACCTAGTAAGGCAACAGTAGAGGATGGCCCAAGTCCTTGGACCCTTGGACCCTTATGTGAGAGACCCAAAAGAAGCTCCTGGCTCCTGGTTTCAGATTGGCTCAGCTCTAGCCATTGCAGCCATTTGGGGAGTGAACTAGCAGATAAAAGATCTTTTTCTCTCTCCTCTCTATAAATCTGCCTTACAAATAAAAAAAATAAAATAAATCTTTTTAAAAAAAGTAATGTAACCTGAAATAAATAAATCAGGAGTTAGAGGAATAAACAAAAAGTGCCTAGGGCTCTGTGCGGTGACCTAGTCGCTAAGATCCTTGCCTTGCATGCTGTGGGATCCCATATGGGCACAGGTTCTTATCCCAGTGGCCTCACTTCCCATCCAGCTCCCTGCTTGTGGTCTGGGAAAGCAGCTGAGGACAGCCCAGAGCCTTGGGACCTTAAGCTCACGTGGGAGACCCAGAGCAGGCTCTAGGCTCCTGGATTTGGATGGGCCACTTGGGGAGTGAATCAGTGGATGGAAAATCTTCCTCTCTGTCTCTCCTCTTCTTTGTAAATCTGAGTTTCCAATAAAAAAATAAATAAATATTACAAAAAAAGCTTGGTCCCTAATGGGTTTTTCAGAACGTTAAGGACCAGTTGATGACAATTCTGGCCTTAATATACTATTTACGTAGAACAGAAGAGAAAACCTTCACCCAGCGATTCAATAAACTCTGAGTGCAAGGGAGTTTAGTAAGGTATAAGAGACATAATACCTTGTGCTTCCGGAGGCTGCCAGGACTGGTGGGCGTAGAGATGGGAGACTGCTTAGACTTGGGGGTAGAGAGCTGGCTGCTGGAGGTTCCGTTTGCTAGCCCAAGGCAAGAGAAAAGGAAGGGATAAAAATCAACAGCATACAAAACAGCACGTTATCCTTCCCCTCTGAAGACACTGAGAACATTCAAGCAAGGTACATAGAAAACCAAGGGATTTGATGAACAGAACAAAGGTGAAAAGAAACACATTCCTCAAAAGGGCAAGGACTGTACTCCTTCGTTAATTAACTCCTGGCGCAGTGCAGTGCAGGGCTGTCCATCTTCCTCCATTTTCCTCCCACTTGTTCCCGGAACGATTCCCAATCACTGTAGTCTGCTTCTTTTCAAACCTTTCTAATGTGCATGTGCTGGTTTGACCCTAATATCTCTTGGAGGCAGTCTGAGAAAGTATTCTTGTGTTTTAGTGTTACAGAGGAGAAAAGTGAGCCAGATAAGTAATAAGCCTCACATACAGACGAAGAAATATGGGTGATTCATGGGTGATTCGATAGCTGATGGGGTAAGTGTAGCACAGCCCATGGTCAGTCTTCTGTCCTTCCATTTCCTGCCTGTTCTTACCCCTCCCGGTTGAAAAGAACAGAGGGCATGGAATTGAAAGCGAGCTAGTCAGAAAGGGGAATGAAAATCTGAAGTGTGTGAGGATTTAGACTGGGTAGTAGGCAGTTACGGCATTCTGGGTCTCTGAGCCATTTTCTTCTCAAAGATAAAATGGCGTTTCCCCCACCATGTCTTAGATTCACTAGAGCACTTTTCTTCCAAGGGACAAGGGCGACATTAGCATATCAATTCCCCACCTGAAGTATCAGCCACTATCTCCTGCCACTGTGTGAGAGGGCCTCAGGCTGGTCTCCTTATCATTGAAAAGCAATATATCCAAAACACCTGTTACATGAGAAACCAACATACACTCCTGTGTTCATAGCAGCACAATCAATAATTGCAAAAACATGGAAGCAACTGAAATGCCCATCAAAAGAAGCCTGGATAAGAAAGCTATGGTTCATCTACTCCATGGAATATTACTCAGCTATTTAAAAAAACAAAATGCAGGTTTTTGTGGCCAAATGTGCCCCACTGGAAACCATTATGCTAAGGGAAATAAACCAATCCCAAAAGGTTAGATACCACATGTTTGCCTTAATTTAAGATGAAATGATGTCAATATGAAAAATAGTACCTGTAAATTGTAATATTGTTTCAAGCTCAAACAGCCTATATCACATGCAATAAGATACTGTGATGTAACCAATGAACCAACAATCAATGTGAGTCAGACTGCTTATGATTTACATCAAAGAACTGTAAAACCTAATATACTTTCAGTACCCTATGTTATTCTGTAATGGGGTGGAAGAGCAGAGATATCTTCCACCTTCTTAGAATGTGGGAGGAAGATGTTAAGTATAACCTATCAAGAATATAGCAGGTAGCTTATAGACAACAGACTCGAATAAGCATTAGACATTAGCAAAAATATAAAGACATACAGGGGCTATCCTGACAACCTCTTAACAGGAGGTCATATGCATGGAGCGGGGCGGGGGGACCCCCAGAGTGGAGCAGGTGGACAGGAGGAGGCTTGTATCCCAACCCTGGAGACTCCCAGATCCTCACCAAGGACTATCAGTACGAGCACCAAGGACTATATCCCAACTGCCAAGGAGACCACTGGAAATTGGAGTGCCTTCGGAGCCCAAGAACTCTGAGGTCATCCACTCCCTTTTGGATCTCCCACATGGGATGGAAGAAGCCCAGATCCTTCCTCACAGGGTCTAATGTCATCAAACAATTGCCAGGAACCCTGAGCGATCCTCAGAAACAGAAATATAAACTCCCTTCTAGACTTGGGAGGGGAGCTTTCTCTGGTCCTTACCTAGTTCCAACTTTGGATTCCCACCCTCTCTTGCAATGACCACCAGAGTCGCTCAGGAGCCCCCGCCCCCTAAATTAGATCAGATAGACAGAGAAAAACAAGGAAAGCTTAGAAACAGACAGGAAACGGTCAGCTTGGACTCACATATACCTTACTAGGTAGGACACAAAGATCAGTTACTCCTCACTAAGGTACTGAAGATTTCTCTGCACACCCCTCCTAACAGTGTTGTGGGCCTCAACTGTAGACACATGCCTTGTTAGAGTTACAAGCCAGTTTGGACTATCCTAAAATCCACCACGTTCAGTAAAAATCATGCTTCAACACTATAAACTGTTAAATACAAAAATGAAAATAGACACGGGACAGCTGAATGGCCTACAGCCATTTTAAGGAGTATAACATCCCGTTGTGTACAAACTTAAATTGAAATGTCAATGAAGTAGTGACAGGATGTGGTTAAAACTTGCATTTTCTAACATATTGGTCACTCAATACCATCTCAATTAACTCCATAGTATTGTAAATTGTTTTTGATGTTATGTTGTGGCTTTTCATTGGAGGGGATGATATTCTGCCAGTTCTGCTTTCAGACCAGAGTTGGTCTCCCCAAGAAACTGTTGAATTGATCTGGACAATACAATGCTGGACTCTATACGTGGTACATGCTTGTAACAAAGGAATCATGACTGGATTTGAACTGTAATACTGCAACAATGTGGAGGAATCCAACATGGGGGGAGGGCATTAGGAGGGATTGGGGGAATCCCAGAGCCTATGAAACTGTGTTATAAAATGAAATTAAATTAAAGAAATAAAAAAATCAAAAATAAAAATAAAAGGAACCAAGGAAGTAGCATGTCTGACACCTTTTTGGCCTTTTGTCTCAAAGCCAGATAGATACCAGGGGGACCAGGAATTTCCTTTTGTCTTTGGAAAACCCCTTTGAAGTAAAGCTTTAAAAGATCCCAACCCCTTTCCCCCCCATGCATGGGTCCTTTCTATCCCAAAGCCCCCTCCCATCTAGGATGGGAGTCTCCTTTCCCAGCTTTTCTAATAAACCTTGCTTTAAAATTAAATTGTGTCCGCATGAAAATTCTTCTTTCCTGCAAGACAAGATTTAAGGTTGCTGCTTTATTTGGGGTCAAAAACCCTACAACGGAAGGACACACAAACAAACTTGAACAGCAAAATGAACAGAAGAGAGACTCAAAGAAGATTAGGTATGGAAGAGAGGAGAATCAAGGACAGCTGGGAAAGAGCTTAGAAGAGAAAAAAATGAGGAAGTCAAGACAGGGAAAAAGGCATAGAGACATAGAGCAGTAGCCATTGGTGGCCAGAGTGTGGATGCCTATCAAATGATTTCTAGCAAATGCTGATAAGGAGATAGTTTAAATTTTAATGTCTTCTTGTTCCATTCCATGCTTTCACATTGTTTTCTATCCCCTAGCTAAAGAGTTTTTAAAATACCTAATCACGAAAAAGAAATGTGGTTCATTGAAATGAAACAATTGTATAGTTTCAAAGTGGAGTCATGTTCAAACATATGTGAACGGTGTTTTTTAAGCCTTAGGACCGCCATTGTTAAATAGACATATTCTGAAAAGGGCTTTAAAAACAAAGGAAAACATCCCAAGGGTGCATGTAGAGAGAGGGATAGAGAGACAAGGAGAGAAATGGATGGCTATGGGTGAGGGTAGAGCAAAGACTATATATACAAAACTGAAGAAGTTAAGCAGAAAGATAACCTGAGCGTGTTGAGTGTAATCCCATAGTAAAGCTTAAACTGCTGCATCATGAATGTTTCCTGAGGCTATAACTTCTGTATCATTTACTGTAGTGTTTCCCTAGGTTCTGAGATCTGCACATTAATTCGGTACATGGAATGCACAGCCATATGGTGATTTAGTGAGTTTATCCATGCATAAGTGAGCTGAAAAATAGGCACTTAAGCATCCACTGTCACACTTTAGCTGTGTGTTCACTCATCTCACACCCATTCATTGAGAAGCTTGGCTCCTGTCACTCATTTATTTAGCCAGTAGCTATGGAACACTACTACGAGCCAGGTAGAGTATTGGTTTTGAGGGGGGAGGGTTCACGGATGAGTAAGTTACTTCCTGTGGGAAATCAGGCAAGAATAGAAAAAGTGCCAAGACAGAACTTTGCTCAGGAACTATTGCAATACAGATATTGGTTTCCTAGGGGACTGGGAGACATGCAAGAAGACTAACACCTGAGAGATGAATCTGGAGTAGAAAGATCTGTAGACAGAGTGTAGATTAATGGTGGCTGGGGGCTGGAATGGAAAAGGAACTGGGGGAAATGGGAAACTTGTGCTAATGAGTGTGGGATGTCGATGGGAAACAAAGTGAAGCCTGGCATTAGATCACAGTAATTATTGCACAACTCCATGGCTAAACTGAAAGTGACTGAATTGTACATCTTAAGTGAGTGAATTGTATGCTAACTGAATTGTATCTTAATAAAGAGTTTAAAAGAAAGATGAGTCAGAGTAGCTCAGGGGACAGCAAGGATCTGCTAGGAAGTCTAATTGCAACAGTTAAGGGCAATAGGGGAAAAAAGGAAGTTTGTTTACAGAAGTATAAGTAGCTTTGAACAGCTCAGAGGCTCACGCTTGGAGCTTAGGGAGAACAAACTGAGCACAGGAAATAAGGACCAGATTCTGAGAGCCATTCTGTGCTGGATGGAAAAGTGTGAATTTCATTTCTAAAAGGAAGCCATAGAAAGATTTCAGTGGCAAGTGATAGGGTCAAATTATGCATGTTAAAACTATCACACCAGGGGCCAGCATGGTGGCTCAAGAGGCTTATCCTTTGCCTCGTGGTGCCAGCATCCCATATAAGCACCCATTTGTGTTCCAGCTGCTCCACTTCCCATCTGGCCCCCTGCCTATAGCTTGGGAAAACAGCAGAGGAGGGCTCAGTTCTTGGGACCTTGACCCCATGAGAGGAGAGGCCTGGAGGAGGTTCTCGGCTCCTGGCTTCAGATCAGTTCAGCTGAGGCTGTTGTGACCATTTGGGGAATGAACCAGTGGATGCAAGGGGTTTGTATAGTTCTCTTTTTCTCTGGAAAAATCTGCCTTTTAAACAAAAATAAAATCATAAAAAAACTATCACCCTAGAAGCTGTGTTGAGATTC